ATGCCCTTCAGTTGCTCACTTGGCAAGTGTTGCTTGCTAGCATGGATCTGACATTCGTGACACTTCTGGACCGCCTCCATTGCATCCTTCTTTACTGTTGGCCAATAGTACCCCTGAAGCAGTACTGTCCTCTCGAGGCTTCTCGGTCCCGAGTGTGTCGCACATGTGCCTTGATGGATTCCCTTAACCACCCACTTCGCTTCTTCTGGACTAAGGCATTTCAGATATGCTCCTGAAAAAGACCTTTTACACAGTTTTCTCTCTACCAGGGTGTAGTGAGCCGCCTTTCTTCTCAATGCCTTGGCCAAAATTGCATCTTCTGGGGTGACATCATTTTGCAGATAGTCAACCAAAAGACACTGCCAGTCGCGGCTCTCATCCCCTAGGGCCATTACTTAGTATGCTCGGACCGCTTCCATTGTTACTGTTACTCGGCGTTCCCCTTCAAAATCCATTGTGGTTGCTAATTTGGATAGGGCGTCCGCATGGTGATTGTCTTACCTTTTCACGTGCTCAAGCTTCCAGGAATCTAACTGCGACAAGGCTCCTCTCACCTTCCCCACTAACTTTGCGAGAGCTTCCTCCTTCACCTCATAGCTTTCCAGCACTTGGTTTACTACCAGCAATGAGTCAGAGTAGATGTGCAAGTGAGAGGCTCCCATGTTGATGGCGATCTTCAACCCGCAGAGAAGCGCCTCATACTCTACTATGTTGTTGGTCTTTAACTCAAGGAATCTGTGAGAGATTTCGTGCACCACCCCTGTGGGCATTTCAACGATGATTCCAGCTCCCGCTCCTCCTTTTCGGGCTGCCCCGTCGACGAAAAGACGCCATACTTCTATCTCTTCTTTATCCCTCATGCTTCCCAGACTGAAACTTTCGACGATGAAGTCTGCTAACACCTGCCCCTTGATAGAAGGTCGCGGAGCGTACGCGATGTCGTATTCGCTGAGTTCGACCGCCCACTTGGTCATTCTGCCATACACATCCATCCCCTTTAGGATCTTCCTTAGCGGGAGGTTTGAGAGGACGATTACTTGGTGCTCTTGAAAATAGGGGCGCAGCTTTCTTGCGGCCGAAACAACTGCCAAGACCGCCCTCTCAATGGGCATGTAGCACCTCTCCACTGATCTGACCGCTTGATCTGAGACCGCCAAGTAAAGGTATAGGGGCTCACCTTGTCGCGGGGCACTCAACACGGGAGGTGACGTTAGCTGTTCTCTCAATTGGAAGAAAGCTTTGTCACACTCCGCACTCCACTGGGAACGGGATGCTGATTTTTTTCAGCATTTGGAAGAAGGGGGAGCATTTGTCTGCTGCCCTTGGAATGAAACGACTTAGGGCGGCCATTTTTCCATTGAACGCCTGAATTTCTTTGACAGTCTTCGGCGGTCTCAAGCTTATTATGGCTTCTATCTGCTTTGGGTTTGCCTCTATTCCCCTGCTGGTGATCATGAATCCCAGAAATTTTCCTGCCTTTGCGCCAAACACGCACTTGAGTGGGTTTAGGCACAGGCGCTCCTTTCTCGGGCTCTCGAATGTTTCCTTTAGGTCCTTCAGGTGATCTTCCTCCTTTTTTCTCTTGACCAAGACATCATCAACGTACGCGTCCACGTTTCTCCCCAGCTGGCTCTTGAAGACCGCATCTATCATTCTTTGATATGTTGCCCCTGCATTCTTTAGGCCGAAAGGCATAACCGTGTAGCAGAAGTTTCCCATGTGGGTCATGAAGGTGGTCTTCTCTTGATCTTCCTCGGATAGGCGGATCGGATGGTATCCCGAGAACATGTCTAGGAAACTTAGACTTTCATGATTGGCGGTTGCATCTATGAGCTTATCGATTCTCGATAGAGGGTATGCGTCTTTTGGGCAGGCCGCGTTGAGATTTGTGAAATCTATGCACATTCGCCATAGTCCGGATGCTTTGCGGACGAAGACTGGGTTTGACAGCCAAGTTGGATACTTGACTTCTCTTATGAAACCGGCTTTGAGCAACCGCCTTACTTCCTCCTCCAATGCCATTTGTTTTTCGAGGGAAGCGTTCCTCCTCCTCTGTTGAATGGGCTTTGATTTGCTTTTCACCGATAGGTGATGTTTGACAAGCTCCCTTGAGACGCCTGGCATGTCCTCTGAGGTCCATGCTAATAAATCTTTGTACTCTTTGAGGAGCGCCAAGAGCTCTCGTGTTTTTTTCCTTTGTTAGGTGGGAAGAGATTCTTACCTTCTTCCCCGGTTCCTCGTCGTCGAGTACCACCTCCGCGTCTTCTTCGACCACCTATGGGCGGGGATGCCCCCCTCGGGTGTCCACTAGGTCCACCTCCAAGCTCTCTATCGTCGCCTGGTAATACTCATTTTCTTGCTCAATGTTTCCTCTGACCCGTCCCACTCTTCCACCTGCTGGGAATTTAAGCATCTAGTGGCAAGTGGACGGGACCGTGGAGAACAACGATAGAAAATCGCGTCCTAGGATCGCGTTGTATGTCGACGGGCAGTACGCCACGTGAAAGTCCATGGATCGGGTTTTCGTTACGTCTGCTTATCCAATTGTCACCTGTAAGGTGATCAATCCTAACACTCTAATCTTCAATCCCGAGAACCCTACTAGGCTTGTCGCCGACGGTTTGAGATCTTGCATGCTCATCTTCATACTTTTGAGGGTGGAGTAGAACAGTATGTCCGGTGAGCTTCCGTTGTCGACTAACGCCCTTGTGATTTTGAACTTCCTTGTTCTTAAGGAGATAACCAACGAAGCTTCTCCACTCTCGTCAGGCGCCAACGCGGAGAACGAAAAGCTGATGTCCACTTGTTCGCTCTTATGAACATTTAAGCATTGGATTAAGCGTTCTCCCTCACTCCTTGGCCGCTTGCGACCGCCCGCTATGGTTATGACCTCCACGTCGTCGTCATTGAGCCGAGGTTGTCGCTGGGGAGGTGATCTCCTTGGCGGTGGTGGTAAGCGGTCGCGTCGGGGGGATCGCTCTCTTCTCTACGACCTTGATCTTCTGCGCTTAGGCATACGAGACCTCCTTCTTGGGCTCGACGATCTTTCTCTGTGGTGCCTCTGCTCCCGGTGATGTGGCCGTGTATCTAGGCGGTTCTTAAGATCTCCGGGCGCCAAGTACTTCAAACTGGCCTTGTATTCCCGACACTTTATGGTGTCATGGGTGGGCATTTGGTGTCAGTCGCACCACTTTAGATCCTCCTCCCTCTTATGCGTCCGGTGCGCATTGCTGTTTTCGTTTCCCCTTTCTCTGCCTTCTTCTTTGTTGGTGGTGAAAACTTCCCGCCGGCTGTCACGGTGAGTAAACCACGATTTATAGCTGCGCCTTTCGGGATAGCGCCCTCTTCTTTTGGGCGATCCTCCTTTTTTCTTATCTGACTTCTCTCTTGGGTTGACACGCTTAGCGACGTCTTCCATGATCATGGCTTCCTCCAGCGGGATCACTTTCCTCACTAAGCGGTCTAGATCAGGCCACTCTTTTAGGGCGTGTTCTTTCTTGATGAGCGCCCTTCGAAGCTCACAACTATGCATCGACATGCGCAGGTTTCCTGCTGTCACGCTTGGTGAGATTCCCTGTACCTCGCATGCTATGGTGTTCCACCGATCATAGAAGTCCGTCACTGATTCTTCTCCTCCTTGTTTGCAGTTAATGAGTGCTGACACGGTCAGCTTCCTTCTTCACTGGGACGCAAACTTTGAGGAGAAGAGGGTGGTAAACTACTCGAAGTTTTCAATTATCCCCTTAGGCAGAGAAGTGTACCAAGTTCGGCAATGGCCACTAAACGTGACCGGGAATGCCTTGCAAAGATCGGCGTCTGTGGCGTTGATGAGCTGCATGGTCAACATGAAGGCGCTCAGATGTTCGGCGGGATCGGAACTTCCATTCTACATCGGTAGTCGGAGCGATGAGAAGTTCGAAGGAACCTGAGTTTTAAATAAGCTCTTAGCTAGTGGGTTCTGGAGGACGTTGTGACCCTTTACCCTTCCATACGAGGGCTTAAGATGCTCCTCCAAGAATCCTAAGCTGAGATCTTCTGCGCCTTCTTCCTTGTCAGACTCCCCGCCTTCTGTTTGAGCAGGGCTGTTGGGATCTTCTTCCCTTCCTTTTCCTTTTGCCGCTCGTTTTCCTGAGCTCTCTGGCGCTTCACTTCCTTTTTCTTTGAGCATGGCCAAGATTTGGCTCAAACTTTCTTGCATGATTGTTATTTGATGTCCTTGACTCCTGACGCGGTTTTCCATTTCCATTTCTTCTTCCACCGTTGGCATTTCCATTCCGCGGATGTCGCTTCTCTGCGTCTCTTGACTGCAGTGGTCGCTGCTTTCTACTACACCTTTGACGGGGGTATTGGAGCTCTCATCCATCTTTTCTTCAGTACTCTGCTCGCCCCACGGTGGGCGCCAAAATGTTTGAGCCTAGAATGTTCCAGGCGATTTATGAGGAACGAGCAAAGCGTTTGTTCCAGAGGGTGGGTGTACTCCAAGCTCCTGCAAAACAAGGGTCCGTGGGCGGTCACCCCAGACACCCTTCGATGCTAAAGTTAGAGAGGGAAAAGAAAGGTTTTTTGCTTATGTTTAGAGAGATAGAGTAGTTGAGTTACCATCAATGCAGATATGAATGCATAGTCGGTTAGCTTGAGTATGAGGAATTAAATGCCATGTCAGGCGCCCTAGACACGCCTTGCTTTATCTAGACCGCCAACGGCGCGCAATTAATGCTCAATCCTGCAGTATTCGAGGTGAGTATCCTAGGAAGATCTTCTTTTCCTGCCACCAACAGTACTTTGTGTCAGGCGGCCTACTCCTTGTCCCATCATAGAGTGGTCGCCTGCCATTCTCCTTTCCGTATGTCTACTCCTTCTCTGGGCCTCTCGCTGTACCTCGACCGAGTCCCTCTTTCGGACCTTGCCTGATCGACTCCTTATGGGCTTTAAGCCCAACACCGCTCAACTATGAGCCCAACACCAAACGTCAGCCAATTGATTCGAGACTTCTTGACATTTCTCTATAAAAAAGGACTATTTTTGTGTCCATGGGATTGGGATGATACATTGAATGGGCCATGGGCCTTGATGACCAATACCCTCTTCCAGTCTTCGGCTTGCATGTTCGTGAATCGGCCCGCAAACGTGTGTAGTTAGAGCTCGGCCCGCCTCTCAGCAACTGTCCCTACGATCTCCATCCGGCTCGCGGCATCGGACGGCTAAAAAACCGTCCATCAAGATCCGAACCCGAAGCGAAGGGCTACCCGCTACCCGGGAAAAGGGAAAACCAGAGAGTGGTAATCGGCACAATCCTCGAATATCCACAGTTTTCGGGTCTGTCCCAAAAGATCGACGTCGAACCCAGAAAAAGGCGCAAACGGAGTAACAGGAAATCTGCCGGAGCGGCGTGTCGGGAAAGTTGCAAAGAGCCAGCAGTATGGGTGGAAGGGGCCGGCGGAGACCGAGCAACGGCAGCAGGAGCGATTCGAGGAACAACAAGAGTGGTGGAAGCAATGGGAGGAGATCGAATTCGTCCTCTCGAACCAGGAACTCCCTCTTCGTTGAAGGCGGCGCCTTAGCTGATTGGCAAGGTCCTCCCTTTTTCCCTCCTTCCCTTCATTTCCCCTCTGTTTTCGTCCTTTCGGTGTTGTGTTCATTGATGCGTTGCTGGGATGGTGTGAGAATCAATTTGGGAGAAATTTTACATTTTGGAATATGGTTATTCTGCCGGGGAAGTCGGTTGTTGGATCGATTGAGCTGACTTATGTTGTCGTTCCCATTTTAGTGGGTTTGATTTGTTCATCATGTTGAACGATTATTGAGCTTTAATACTGGCTTTTAGTTTGAGTTCATTTGCCTTGTTCGTTGGGATTTCACATCGGTTTCATATCGCAGAAAGGACCCCTGGATCGAATTCCAGGTCTGGTTCCAGACCGGCGAATCATAGCCGAAACAAAGAACCCGCAACCTCTAACAATAGAATCCCCCAGTCACCAGGAAATGCTTTTGGTTTTAGCTATCCAACGGTTGAGAAACAGGTATCCATCTGATTCCCTAAACAGATGTTTGTTTGTTATTGAATTAGGCTGCTGCACGTGCACAATGCTACCGATGTGTCCGTGTATCGATCATGTTAGGCATGAGAAATATAAGGATTCCCCAGTTAATTCAAACAATAGATTGCAAATGAATAGGTGTGTCAAGTTATAGCTTTCTTTCCCTTTCACAAGTTCAATACTTGTGTTCGTCTGCCGAACTAAGTGTTTGTTTCTTATAGGAAAAGGGAAGTCTCCTAGTCTGAGAATGGTTCAATGTTTGCTACAGAACATTAAGTAATCAGTTTAGTTGAGTGGAGTTAGAGGAACATTTCTGCTTGCAGTTCTGTGCTGAATAAATAAGTGAAGCATGCTTGTCTTTTGAGCTTTTTTCTTTGTTGAAGGCAACATACTAGAATTTTGTGGGAGAAAATGAACAAGCTCCTAAAGATCATAATTGTTTTCTCCTTATTCCTGGTTTGCATTTTCTTACAGGAGGGTTCAGGACATAATACGGGCAATAACTTTGATGCGACACATCCTATTGTGTTGTTTAACTCTAACAAGACCCAGATTGTTGCTTATTTAGATGATACACCTCCTTCAGATCCCCAAAATGAGAATGTCACTTATGATTATGGCTCCAGTTTTAGCTTCTCCGATGGATTGCATAGAGGTCTTGGGTTCCATGATGAGTCGGACGAAACTCAAGGTGGTGTTGAGTCACCATCGAAGAAAAAAGAAGCCATTGGACAAGAAGGATCACCTTTTGATCCATCATCCTTTGACATAGAAATGGGTGCTGAGATAGATGGAAAAGAACCAATTGAATCACACTCTAAGGGGAAAAATCCATCATTTTTGTCAGTTGGAGGAATGAGATTGTACACCCAAGATATATCCGACGAGGAAGGTGATGAAGAAATGGATGCTTTCGAGTCATGTAATGATGAAAGCTCTGAATCTGAACAAGAACAAGCATTGTCAGAAAGTGATGATTCTGAGAACACCTCTGACAGTGACCTGGACATTGATGATGAGGTGGCACAGGATTACTTGGATGGAATTGGTGGCAGTGGCAGTGCTGTGGATGCGAAATGGTTGGTGGAAAATGATTTGGATACTTCAGATGAAGATGATAGCTCTTCTTCTTCTAGTGAAGGATTTGATGACACTGTGGAAAAGTTGGGTGGGATTGCTCTCCAAGAAGCGTCAATGGTATATGGTATGATGACACCACAATCAAGGAAGAAGATTCCTACTAGTGGTAGAGACTTCTGGTCTGCAGGCTTGGATGATATCATGTTTGTCAAAGATCCGAGGACTAGGTCCGCTAAGAAGAAGCATGTTACCCAACTGCCTCAATCCTGGCCTGCAGCTCAGAAGAGTAAACGCTTCAGAAACTACCCAGGTAACACCATTTCTTAAAGTTATGAATCGAGTTTCCATATGCTGCTGTTGAAACAAGAGTCAATAAGAAAGTGAAAGAAAGAAGTTTGGACAATCCTAATTTTGGTTTATAGATGTACTCAAACTAGTTCCTCAAGATTTATATTCATGATTTTACAATTCAGGTGAAAAGAAAAAACATCGTAAAGAAATGATTGCTGTGAAACGCCGGGACAGGATGCTGAACCGAGGGGTTGACTTGGAGAAAATTAATACGGTAATAATTCTATTGCTGTTAGGTGGATGATTTGCTTTCTCATTTTCCTTGTTGGAAAAGCTTTTTCATTTCATTTCTCAACTTGTTTTAGAATTTTGGCTCTTTGAAAGGAAGATAAAGTTTTGAAATTTTTTTTTTTTTTTTTGTAGAAACTGGAGCAGATAGTTTCAAATCAGGTGGATATATTTTCCTTTCCACCTATGCATTCCAAGGATTGTTCACAGGTATAGTTCCTCATTCGTTGGCTTGCAGCCTGAATCCAACACTAGTTTTGTCTTTCCCTCATCTGGCTCAGCGGCATATTCATTACCCTATTAGTACGGAAACTGATTGCAAGACATACGTCATGAAGATCTTCAGTAGTTGGTGGCTTGATTTTTATGCTTTTTGTTAATCGTCCTGCGGGGCACTTCAACATAATGAGGTTTTCCCCCTTCGTACTAACAATGAACATCAATATGCTGACAGGTAAGACGGTTAGCAGCAATCTACCGCCTGCGCAGTGGTTCCCAGGGCTCTGGCAAGAAAAGGTACAGTGTGCAGTTGGATATGCCATTGCAAGAAATCACAGTTTGACATGGTTCATGATTTGGATGCTAAAATCAGCTTGTTATGTTTACTAGTTTTGTCACAGTCATGAGAACTCAGCATACATCCATGCCATCAGCAAATGATAGAGTCCGCCTTGAGAAGGTCCGTGTACCATTTGATTGCTACCTAATTGCTACCTATCGTTCAAGTTTTGCACGACACTTTTGGGTCTTCAGTATTCATACCCATAGCCCTGATGTTGCAGTAAAAGTAAAAGTCTTTTGATTTTTCTCTTTTCGACCTTGTAGCTGATAGGTGCCGTGAACGAAGATGAAGATTTCTCCGTCGCTGAAGGTAAGGCAGCAGCTGGTGCAGACAGAAGAAGAACCAAGAACAACAGTGCTCGGGATCTTCAGGGAGGCCGAACCAAATCATCTAGGAAGTCAACCAAAAAGGGAGGGACAAACGTGGCTTATGCCAGTCAACCCGTGTCATTCATTTCAAGTGGAGTAATTCGACCTGAGGAGGATGCCTCATACGACACAACAGCCATGGATGAGACGGTCGTGGCGACCACCACCTCAGCAAAGGTCGGGGCTTTTGAGGTGCACACCAAAGGGTTTGGATCGAAGATGATGGCGAAAATGGGTTATGTAGAAGGAGAAGGTCTGGGAAAAGAGCGTCAAGGCATGGCTGCACCAATTGAAGTGATTCAACGGCCGAAATCTCTAGGACTCGGCGTCCAATTCTCTGACACCGACATCAAAACCACCACCAAACCCGAACGTCCAAGTGGAGCCCGACGTCCAGCAACACATGAGAGACGCCCAGCAACACATGAGAAGCGTCGTCCTAAGCCGCAGAGCGTTGGAGATTTCGAGAAGCATACTAAAGGGTTTGGATCAAAGATGATGGCTAGAATGGGGTTTGTTGAAGGCAGTGGCCTGGGGAAAGATTCTCAGGGCATTGTTAACCCTTTGGTTGCAGTTAGGCGCCCGAGAGCTCGAGGACTGGGTGCAGAAGGTTAGGTAGTGATAGTTAATCGTAAATTATTCTTACGCTTATCATCTACTCTACTAGACGAATTACCAAATTAACTCAGAATAAATTGTATGTTTTTTCTTCTGCCATGACTTTGGGGAATTGCAAAGGGTAAGATGAGATCTGTCCACTCTTTCAGCTTGTTTCATGTGACTGTGGAAAGGGATGACTTGTAGACTGATCAATCACAATAATATTGTGTATGTAAATGTGTGCAGAACATTAGTTTATGGGTGACATCTCTTCATCTGGGTCTGTAAAGTGTAACTTTCATTGCTTAAAGATGCAGTTTGGAGTATATTATATCAATCTTTCCTTATGGAGGAGGGTTTGTTAGCAAGTACCTGGGCATGATCTGGAATTCCTCCGGGCAAGCTACGTTGGGGACTCGTTTCCTTTGAGTAATTGTAAATGTGGGTTGGCAAACGAAATTGAAACAATGGTAGGGTTTAGTTTTATTGGAGATGTATAGTGTTGTTCTATTTGGCGATAAATTTCTTTCCATTACATATTTATCCATTAAAATATGTGGATCGATTGAGATATACCGATATAAGATCATATTCAACCATGAATAGGCCTGGAGTGAGATACCAAGTTTACTTGGCAGTTTGGCCTCTGAGGGAAATAGTAAAGAGAAGTTTGACTGGCGGCGAGTAAATGAGGAAGATGATTGCATTTTCTTTCGAGTTTTCCGAAGTCATAATCTATGTAATAATAAGTGTGTTGCTTTTACAACATATTAAGGAACAAGAAAATGTTCCAAAGATGTATGAACGTTGAGAGTAGGGCTGCAAATGAGACGAGCTGTTTGTGAACGACTTGATGCTCCATTCGAGAAAAATTTGTACGAAACTCGGCTCGTTTATTAACGAGCCGAACATGAGCTAAGCTTTGTTCAGCTCGTGAAGCTCGCGAGCTAGCTCGACTAGGTGGCTTGTTGAACTAAACTCGTGAGCTGGCTCGTTTAGAGCTCATGATATGTCTCAACATGTGGCTAGAGAGCCAACTCGATTACCGACTTATGGACGAATCAATCTATATCTTATGATTTTAATTCATATGGCTGTTAAATTATATATCTCGCCATATATAAAGTTTAACACGCTGAGTATGTGAGCAAATATATCTTATTTTATATTTTAAAAAGAAATTATGTATCATAAATTGCTTCGATACTATGAAATAATATGATTTGGAGTAGTTAAAATTTATTAACTAAATGATAAATGATACCAACAAAGTATAATATGAGATTAGCTAACAAAATAAATCACATGTATCATGATATACAAAATGTACCAAATAAAAGTTAAGATTTTAGTAAACAAGCTAACTCGAGCTCGACTCGGCTCGTTAATAAATGAGTTGAGCTCGACTGGTTTATTAACGAGCCGAGCTCAAACTGGGGTAAAACTCGACTCGACTCATTTGCAACCCTAGTTGAGAGCCACCAATCAGGTAACTAGGATTCGAGAGGGAGTACAAAGAACATTATAAACAAGTTAACCTAACACAAATTATCATCTATTTGGGACGTTGAGAGCCACCAATCAGTTAAATAGAATTCGAGAGGGAGTAAAAAAAACATTATAAACAAGTTAACCCTAATTTATCATCATTCCTAACCAAAGTATCTTTTGTCTTTTAACTTTAATCCTCCAGCAAATTGACAAAATAAGACTAGAGCATTGGAGAAAACTAAAAAATTTGGTTCACAATCACAAATCCTCCCAGGGTAGGGAAGTAGAGACCAATTGGGAACTTACTCTATCCCTAGAAACAATTATTCCCAATCTTTATTAGCCTAGCAACATTTGGATTCAATGTCAACTTTATGTTTCTAATCTGAGGTAATATGGAGCTTTGAGTCCCAACCAAATATGATAACTAAATCACATTTGTGCCCTTATTAGGTGGTATTTCAATTAAAAAAATGAGATTATCTATATATCTATCTATCTCAGCTTATGTTTATGTCCCAACAATAAAACCAAATTTGGGAGAACATGATTGGACAAAAAGAGAAACCAATTAGTTCAAAAGATTGGTGATCAAAATCTACCTCAGATCTATTTTCTATAGTAAAATTATTGCACATAATCGTTAATGATTTGGATTCTGAAACAAATACAAATAATAAATTTAGAATCGAGAATAACAAGTAATTATACAATACACAAAATGTATATGATTTCACATGTACATTGGTTTGGTCAACATTGGTGCTATGTTCTTATTTTGTTTCTTGTTTGACTATCGTCACAATAAAAAGTTCAATGATTCTATAGTATTATTGGGCGTAACCTAATTATGATACAAAATCTATATCAATTAAATACATCTGTATTTGTCCACACCTCCTTTCAGAATCTTCTTACATATTTTTTTTAATTATGAAGGACTTAATATAAATTGACACAACGAAATTTGCAATGATTTAACACTCAATTACATAATCACACTACATTATCCACTATGACAAATCATCATAATCTCATCTTAGCTTTGATCTCAATTGAACCAATAGTCACAACAATGCTTTCTTTTGTAGTGAATTTGGAATTTCTTCTTCTTTTTTACATAGAAAATTAATTAATTGGAATGGGTACTCTGGTAAATCCATTCAAAGCAGAGAGAGATCCGTCGGCACTCTCCTTTCTCGCTGAGCGAGGGAAAGGAAAGAAAACGAGAGAAAGAAAGGACGGTCTTTATAAAAAGAACGGTTTCCCTTCTTCTTTCCTCCATTTCTATGTCTCGAGAAACCTCCCTCTCCCCGGTGGTTCTTCAGAAATCTTGAACAGGGAGCTTCCCCTTTTTCTTCTTGTTCAGTACCTTCCTCTCTGCTTTGCAACTGAATCTCTCCCACCTCAGGTAACTAACTCTCTAATCCTCTTGATCTCCATTTGTTCGCACCTTCCCCTGCTTCTAATTCCGCGCATTGAATCATTCCTTTCTGTCAATTACCTTAGATCTCTCGCTTAGAGCCAAGGCCGCCGCTCTTTTTTCTTACCCTCTGTTTTGATTCTTCCAGTCGTTTCACGATCTGGGTCTCCCAGATCTGACGCGCATCGCATTGAAATCGGGGAAAAGATGGATTCTTTCGCTCGTTTGAAGATCTGGGGTTTCGCCCTTTTGCTGATTCTGCAATCGGGAGATGGGTTTTATCTCCCCGGAAGCTACCCTCACAAGTACGGCATCGGCGACACTCTGTCGGTGAAAGTGAACTCCATCACTTCAATTGAAACCGAGATGCCATTCAGCTACTACAGCTTGCCCTTCTGCAGGCCCACGGAGGGGGTCAAGGATAGCGCTGAGAATCTCGGGGAGATTCTTATGGGAGATAGAATCGAGAACTCGCCCTACAAGTTCAAGATGTACACCAACGAGACCGAGATCTTCCTCTGTCAAACGAAGCCCTTGTCGGCCGACGACTTCAAGCTTATGAAGAAGAGGATCGACGAGATGTACCAGGTGAATTTGATCCTTGATAATTTGCCTGCGATTAGGTATACTAAGAGGGAATCGTTTATGGTGAGGTGGACTGGCTACCCTCTTGGGATCAAAGTTCAGGATGCTTATTACCTCTTCAACCATTTGAAGTTCACTGTTCTTGTTCATAAGTATGAGGAAGCCAACATGGCTCGTGTGATGGGAACCGGGGATGCTGCTGAGATGATTCCCACTGGGGGAACGCCGGGATCAGAGACCCCAGGTTATATGGTTGTAGGGTTTGAGGTTGTTCCATGCAACTTTGTCCACAATGCTAAGTCCTTGAAGGATGTGAAGATGTATGGCAAATACAAGTCTCCGATCAAGTGTGATCCTACAACGGTAGCCCTTCCGATCAAGGAGAACGAACCGATTGTTTTCACCTACGAGGTTACATTCCAGGAGAGCGATATCAAATGGCCTTCGAGATGGGATGCTTATCTGAAAATGGAAGGTTCAAAGGTCCATTGGTTCTCAATCATGAATTCTATGATGGTGATCACTTTCCTTGCTGGTATAGTCCTGGTCATCTTCTTGAGAACTGTGAGGCGTGATCTAACACGTTATGAGGAGCTTGACAAGGAAGCTCAAGCTCAAATGAACGAGGAGCTATCTGGGTGGAAACTGGTCGTGGGTGATGTTTTCCGTGCCCCAACAAACTCGGCCCTATTATGTGTTATGGTGGGCAATGGAGTTCAGATCCTGGGAATGGCGGTTGCCACTGTCTTGTTTGCTGCTCTAGGATTCATGTCACCAGCTTCTCGTGGTACCCTCCTAACCGGTATGCTAGTCTTCTTCATGATCCTTGGAATTGCAGCAGGATATGCAGCTGTTCGGCTGTGGAGAACAATGGGATGTGGAGATGGAAAAGGATGGGCTTCCGTGTCATGGAAAGTCTCCTGCTTTTTCCCGGGGATTGCTTTCGTGATCCTAACCACTCTAAACTTCCTTCTGTGGGGTAGTCATAGTACTGGTGCAATCCCATTCTCTCTCTTCGTCGTCCTAATCCTTCTCTGGTTCTGCATCTCTGTTCCACTAACCCTGATTGGAGGATACTTCGGAGCAAGGGCGCCCCACATCGAGTACCCAGTTCGCACCAACCAGATCCCAAGAGAAATCCCAGCTCAAAAGTATCCATCTTGGCTCCTAGTCCTCGGAGCTGGAACCCTACCTTTCGGCACCCTCTTCATCGAGCTCTTCTTCATCATGTCAAGCATCTGGATGGGCAGAGTCTACTATGTGTTCGGATTCCTCTTGATCGTGTTCATCCTTCTGGTTGTGGTTTGTGCCGAGGTCTCACTTGTCTTGACCTACATGCATCTGTGCGTGGAGGACTGGAAGTGGTGGTGGAAATCTTTCTTTGCCTCTGGTTCGGTCGCCATCTACATATTCTTGTACTCCATAAACTACCTGATATTCGACCTGAAGAGCTTGAGCGGGCCAGTGTCTGCAACCCTTTACCTGGGCTACTCATTACTGATGGTTCTAGCAATCATGTTGGCTACTGGCACAGTCGGGTTCCTTTCGTCCTTCTGGTTCGTGCATTACTTGTTCTCGTCAGTTAAGTTGGATTGATCAGCCTCCTGTGCAGCAATGGTCATCATTGTACAAGCAGCTCTTTACAACAGTAGTAGTTTACTGCGGTTTCTTATCTCTTTGTTGACCTTTTGTCATTTGAGTTGTCTTTCACTTTCTTTGCTTTTGGTAGGAAAGAGGAATTACCAATGTAGTAGGAATAAGTTTCCCGTAAGTCTTTTTTCTGTTTTGGTTTGTCCATAGATGGCAACCCTCATGGCATGTTATAGAGTTTTCTTCATACCCAGAAAGTTTATTTGCATGTTTTGATCATGGTTTGTGTACAATATCGACGGTCCGACCAGAAACATCATCTACTAGAGTTGTATGGTATACATATCGGAGAAGTTTGTAATGATCGGTACAATGCGATCAAACCTTCACCCACCGTATATCGGTTCGTTTTGACCGGTACAATGCGATCAAACCTTCACCCACCGTATATCGGTTCGTTTTGACGATTTTGGTTAGTATTATGTCGAAACGATGATCATATTGTTAGATACCATTCTAATTGTTAGATACCATTCTAATAATTTGTACGATTTTATCGTTTTTGTGGTACGATTTTCCAAATCATGCATTTGATCAGTCCCGAACACGAATCCTACAGTGTATGAACTTGCAGATTAGGATAACGATTTCGTAGGTAGATTAAACGCAAAGATTGTGGACCGATGCACGAACCAAAACAGAAGAAAAAACAAATGGGAAAAAGAGAAAGAAATTTATGTGGTTACCGTTAAGCCGTTAAAAGATTCTGAAAGACCCAAGTGAAGTGGGCAGAGCAGCGAGCGACCACCGCCATTGGAGCCAAAAGAATGTTACTCTTCAGCTCAGTTCCAACTCTCCACTACCCCGGCAGCGCCGCCGCCGCCGCCGCTCCTTCTCTTTCCCTTTTCCCTTCTTCCTCGCCGTACCATTCTTCTTCTGTTTCCTTACAGCAGGCGCCATGGCACCGCGTGATGGAAGTTTCTCCGAGTTCTACCGCTTACCAATTAAGGATGAAATCAATCCCCAAGGTTTGATCTTTTTGCTTACTGTCCATCTTACTGAGAACAAGAATTGATGGGTTGTTTTCAGAATTCTTGATTGTTTTGGTCTCCATTTGTATATTTGGCAGGGTTTGAGAATCAGATGCTCTGCCGTTGAGCCATTGAAGGTGATGATATCTGGAGCTCCAGCTTCCGGCAAGGGCACTCAGTGCGAGCTGATTGTTCAGAAGGTAACTAGCTAGCTAAAGCTCGTCTTGCCATTCGACCTTTTCGTGCTGATTTTACGAATAGAGGATAACTCGAATCCATTTGCAGTTTGGATTGATTCACATATCAACCGGGGATCTCCTAAGAGCTGAAGTTTCTGGTGGCACGGAGATAGGGAATAAGGCCAAGGAGTTCATGAATGCTGGAAAGCTGGTTCCTGATGAAATTGTTACCGCGGTAAAGAAATGAACTTTAGCTTACCTAGTTCAGCATTTGATCTACTGCTAATGATGGGCTTTTCCCTTTTTTGGGCTATAGATGGTTACAGGAAGGCTATCCCGGCAGGATACAAAGGAGAAAGGTTGGCTTCTGGATGGCTATCCGCGGAGTGCTTCGCAAGCTGAGAGCTTGGAGAAGCTTAACATCAGACCGGACATCTACATTGTGTTGAATGTAGGCTTTATTTATTTACTATTTCTGCAGATTCATTGACGTTCTTTGTAAGCTTAACTGGCTTTTTCTGTACTAATATGTCAGGTTCCGGATGAGGTTCTGATTGATAGATGTGTCGGTAGAAGGTTGGATCCTGTGACTGGGAAGATTTACCACATTAAGAACTTCCCTCCAGGATCTGAGGAGATCAAAGCAAGGCTAACAGTTCGTCCTGATGACACTGAAGAGAAAGTAATTAATCATAATCCAGTTTGTCCCTTAATGCAGTGCTCTTCATGTGTACCGTGGTTATCATTACCTCTAAACCATGCCTAGGTAAAAGCACGGCTCCAGATATACAAACAAAATGCTGAAGCCACATTCTCCACTTATTCAAAGATAATTAAACAGGTAAGTAGGTCTGTCTGTCTGTGCTTTCTTTCATATCTTCTGAACAATATCAATCTCAGCCTTTGACCCTTTACGATTCTCCTTCGAAATGCAGATGGATGGAAACCGATCGAAAGATGTAGTGTTTCAGGAGATAGAGAGCCTGCTGTCACAAGTGCAGGAAGACAAAGCTGAGTCAATCAAGCCTAGTGAGTGTTTTCAATGTTTTTGAGTCATTATGGAAGTTTACTAGGTCCCTCCTCAGCCTTGATTCTCATTTCTACTGTACAGAAAGATCTGTGGTTGAGTCTAGGAGCCAATCCAGTGAGGCATTAGCTAGCCAGGTAGAGATTACATGGTACTTATTGTTGGGCTATATCATAATCCGAGCATGCATCCATTCTTATATTTCTTTTAGTTCCTTGTAGGGAAAATGGAGGGGAATTCCCACTAGGTTGAACAATATCCCCCATTCCAGAGAAATCAGGAATTACTTCTACACTGATGTGCTCCAAGCCACTCAAAGGGCTGTTAACGATGGCAGAACGCGCTTAAGGGTAAAGTTTATGTACGAAACCCAACTTTGATTCAAGGCGTTGTTTGACGGAATCAGCCCTGTGTAATCCATATGTTACAAGGATTCTTAGAGGAACTTCATTTGTCTAACCTATTACTTCGTATTGGTAGGTGGATATCAACATCCCAGAGCTTAACCCTGAAATGGTGGGGCAAAATTTCCCTTTTGCCATGCAGTGATACTTAACTTTTGGATTTGACTCTGTCTTAATGATCCACAGGATGTTTATCGAATAGGTACCCTGATGGAACTCGTTCGAGAGATTGCTCTCTCGTTTGCAGATGATGGGAAACGTGTCAAGGTAGTATTAGTATAGCTAACATCAAATAAGTTTCCCTGTGAGTTTCCCCCCAGTTTTCTGAGAGCTTGTCCTTGCCATTTTTTCCAGGTTTGTGTTCAAGGCTCTATGGGGGCAGGTGCCCTTGCTGGAATGCCACTGCAACTTGCGGGAACACGTAAGATCTTGGAATACATGGATTGGGGCAGTGATGGCGCTATGGGGACCTTTGTCAAGATCGGTTCTATAGGTGGTCAAGAAGTTGAAGAACAAGATGACATGTTCATCTTAATTGCTCCACAAAATGCTGTAGGAAACTGCATCATCAATGTAAGTTATGCTGAAATATGCTCCAATCTCATACCTTACAGGAACTTATTCTACATTGCATGGTTATATTCATATGCCGAAAATTTGCAGGATCTAGAAGCCATGACTGATGCTGCTGGGAGTCGACCAGTCATTCTGATAAATCCAAAACTCAAGGTTAATGTCTTGATCCCACATCACAGTCACTTACAGTTGCTCCTAAATGTATTCTTTCTCATCTAAACTCAGTTTGAACCTCAGGATTTGCCTGCCTCTAGTGGAATCATGCAAGTAAGTGACAAATCCTAATGACACCAGGAAAACCTTCAAGTCATGAGTCCATGATTTCCCTACTTATACAGTTTTACACTTTACTTCATGTAGACAATGGGAAGGGAGGAAAGGCTCAAGTATGCAGCTTCCTTCGAGAACTGCTACTTCTTTCGACTTCTCTACTACGCAGGAACTCAGTATCCAATCATGGGAGCTCTAAGGTGAGAGATTAACTAATTCCTAAAACAAAGTCCCTCAACTTTATTCTCTATGTCACTTCCTCATTCACAATGCTGGATCAGTAACGAATCATGATCGCGAATTCACAGGATGTCATATCCATACCCTTACGAGCTGTACAAAAGGGTTGATGAAGCCCCGGGAAAGGAAAAGTACACAACATTGTCGACATTTCCAGAGAAACCTACCTCCGACGAGATAAATAACGCCTTCATGGGGAGAACAAAGTAAGAAACCAAGAAAGAAAACTTGATTGCTTCATTCCCAAACTTTCATGCCATTTTTTTTAGCCTAGTTGTAGATTTGTCATCTATCTTTAAACACATGAGGTGGCTAACAAAAGAAGGGCACTCTTGTTCTTTTGCAGAGAACAAGCCAAGAAAGCCTCAGGCTTCTGGTATGAAATCTCGATCTTCATTCACATGTTTTACTCAGAAATCTGTCCTCGACATTCCGAAAGTCCACTGATTAGTTGGTGGTTTCTGGGTTTGTAGGGGTTTCTTGAGCGGTGTGTTTTGAGCAGAACGAGAGATGTGGTCAGCAACGTTACAGTATTCGGGTGGTTGAGATGTTGAACTCACTAGATAAAATCCCAGAATCTGAACTTCTCAATACATGTAGCAGTGGCTTTCAACAATCCGACACAACGAAGGATTCGAAGCTTTTGTTCAAGATCAGGCTCAAGAAAGAGGCTGACTATATATGGCTCTTCACTGTGTCTATCTCTCTTCCTTGACCTTCTTTCCTACCTTTCTTTTTCACCATGGCTTGTGTCATATCCACATATTCGAACTGGACTGGTTCTTGTTAATGCTTACCTTGCAGCTAAAAAACGACCCCATCAGCTCTAATCGTGGGGATCAAAGTCAATGCTTCCTCAAAACGGATGGGAAGAGAGCAGAGAAGAGAGCACAAGTTGATTAAAGAACAATTCTTCTTGGAAACATAAAGCCGCCTTACCAATGAGGTTTCAGTTGACCACCACAACCCACCAGCTGGTTAAGTTGCCTAGTTGACTGGGGACAAGTTGTTACAAAGCTTATGTAGCTCATTGGATCCTACAAGCAACAATTACTACAACTCATTGTTTGTAGCTTCCACTTGATCAAAGAATTCATAATCTAAAACCGACCCATTAATCGATGTATTCAGGGTTTGAGCTAATTAAACCTAGAACATCTATGCCAGTTGGTAAGGCATTAACCAATGTTTTTCAATCATATCAACGGTACGATCGAAAATCGACTAAATAGGTAATAGGAATCATAGGATACAACCTCATATTTACATTATCTCACTGCCCACATTTGTGAGAATTCTGGGAGCCACTTCCCACTTGGGACAGAGCCTTAAAAAGGAAAAACAGAAAAGAGGTCGAAAAAGGAGAGCTGCGGTATCGACTTGTTTGGTAGCTCTTGTCATATCATCTTTCTTGTGTATCCATCTCACCTGTATTATTACAATCAAGGATAGAGAGCTAAGTGAACGGCCACAAGGTATCCTGGAACTGGAAGAAGTGATTTACGGCCTTAGTTTCTGTGGCACTGCTCCATGCCCTGACAAAACAGAGAATAGAAGAGAAAGAATTCCATAACTCAATCACATCCACACAAACAAAGAACCCACATATGCAATCAATACTTGTCTACAAAATGTTGAACACGATTAAAACATACCAACAGGGGGGAAAATACATAAAAGAAATACTGGATAGGGCTGTGTATGGTAAATACATATGAAAATGCGTGTTGTTCGTCGCGCGCACGTTTTAGTTCATTGCACTCGTATGAATTTAAGATTATATCATTTCGAGGCATGTAAAATTTACTATCTAATGTCATCTACCATCAAGATTCATCAATGTGCAGATTGCAGCTTCTTCCAAAAGATTAGCATCTGTAATAGCCTAAGAGATAATAACCAAAAAAGCAAACGCATTAACAAGCATATTGAATGCCGTGTTGAGCCAATAACCAAGAAACAACCAACTGCTCAATCACCATCAGAAGAAGGAAGAAGCTGCAAATTCCACTGCCTGAAAACATGCAAGTAGTCAAAATCTGGTAAGACTGCCAAACTTCAACTGAATTTAGGAAGAAGGTAATTTTGTTTGCAATTTGAGGGTTAGTTTATTGTTTCGTTTGCCTCTTTCCATCTTGCAGTTAAAGTCGACCAACAAGTCCCTTTCATGTAGATCCCACCCCAGCAAGAAAAATAAATCCCACAAAGGAAATCATACCCAAAAGTTCAAATATGCATTGAATTCTGAAGAGAGATGGTTTCAAGAAATACCAAATATGACAATAAATAAAAGAGTGAGAAGAGAAGACAGAATTTAAGACATCAAGTTGTGTGTCCAACCAGCCAAGCTTAGAAGGGGGGAGAAAACTCAGCTCCCAAGTCGGTTCCAATCTGCAAGTTGACAATTTGCCGGCAATTCTGCATCTTTTCCCCACATATATACACACACAAGAGGAAAAATACCAGTCCTTTCTCCAGATCTTTGAAAAGGAGAAGCCATAGGAAGAAGGATACCAGCTCTGGTTCTGTGAAGAGGAGAAAAGAGAAGAAGACAATGGCGGGAGGGTCATTCGGCCCAGCCGGGGTGGCCAAGGAGAGGGCACAGCAGTACCAAGGGAAGGTGACTGCCTCTGTCATCATTGCTTGTATGGTTGCAGCTACCGGAGGCTCTCTCTTCGGCTATGATGTTGGAATTTCAGGTAAAGTTTCTGGCTTTCTGGCTTCCTCTTTTCTTCTTCTTCTCTCTCTCTCTCGCCTCTTCCCTGAAATGGCAAAATGGAAATTAACGGACCATAGAAGTCAAAATTGGTATTGTTTATCATATGGATTCAGGAATTTTAGAACGGTTTTGACTTCTGTTGAATGTCAAAATGGTTTGCCAACAGGAGGAGTTACATCCATGGATGGATTTCTCAGCAAATTCTTCCACAATGTCTATGAGAAAAAGCAGCATGCTAAAGAAAACAACTACTGCAAGTACGATGATCAAGGGCTAGCAACTTTCACCTCTTCTCTTTACCTTGCTGGTTTGGTTGCATCCCTGGTGGCAAGTCCCATAACTAGAAGCTATGGCCGCCGAGCTAGCATTATCATTGGTGGCATCAGTTTCTTCGTTGGAGCATCATTGAATGCTGCAGCGGTCCATATAGCAATGCTGCTGGCAGGCCGGATCATGCTTGGCATCGGCATTGGATTCGGAAATCAGGTACACATTGGCTTAGTAGTTGTATCACAAGTTCATGCAGTTTATCTTTGAGGTATCCTTATGTTTTCTTTGAAGGCTGTTCCACTCTACCTATCAGAAATGGCGCCAACCCATCTTCGCGGAGGACTGAACATGCTTTTCCAGCTGGCAACTACTCTCGGAATCTTCTCAGCAAACATGGTCAACTACGGAACCCAAAAGCTCGAGCCATGGGGGTGGAGACTATCTTTAGGATTAGCCGCAGTCCCAGCTTTCCTCATGGCAGTAGGCGGAATGCTTCTTCCAGAAACACCCAACAGCTTAATCGAAAGAGGGCAAGAAGCAAAGGGAAGAAAGGTCCTGGAAAAAATCAGAGGAACAAGCAATGTGGATGCAGAATTCGAGGACATGGTTGACGCGAGTGAGATGGCCAACTCAATCAAGCATCCATTCAGAAATATTCTTGAGCGAAGAAACAGGCCGCAACTGGTTATGGCTATCTGCATGCCAGCATCCCAAATCATGACAGGCATTAATGCAATCCTCTTCTATGCTCCAGTGCTGTTTCAGAGCATGGGGTTTGGGAAAGATGCAGCCCTTTACTCCTCGGCCTCAACAGGAGCTGTTCTGTTCTTCTCAACCTTCCTTTCCATCGCTGCAGTTGATAAATTAGGCAGGAGGATGCTACTCATCAGTGGCGGAATCATCATGATCATCTGCCAGGTAAAAAACATAAGTGACATAGCATCCTCACTCATCTTTGGATCTAATGGACTTACCCTGAAATGACCCTTGGTTAACTATCTCAACAGGTGACTGTCTCCATAATCCTGGGGCTGAAGTTCGGAACAAATGAGCATCTCTCGAAAGGTTACTCGGTCCTGGTTGTGGTAGTCGTTTGCCTTTTCGTGCTGGGATTCGGATGGTCGTGGGGTCCTCTCGGTTGGACTGTACCAAGCGAAATATTCCCACTGGAGATACGATCAGCTGGACAAAGCATTACTGTATCGGTGAACTTTCTCTTCACGTTCATCATCGGCCAATGCTTCCTCTCCATGCTGTGCGCATTCAAGTTCGGCATCTTCCTCTTCTTTGCCGGCTGGGTCACCCTCATGACAGCATTCGTCTACTTCTTCCTGCCTGAAACAAAGGGAGTCCCCATCGAAGAGACAGTGCTCCTGTGGAGAAAACATTGGTTCTGGAAGAAGATAGTTGGAGAGGAGATGGAATCCCGGGGGACTCCAAACGGCAATGCAGTGGAAATGGATGAGGCAGTAAGAAACATTCAATAGCCTATGTCACCTCTCGATTTGTACATAGCATGCATTATTTAGCAGTCAACAAAAGAAACTTCTCAGCAATATAGCTATATGACCTCATGAATCCTACCATTGCACCAACAATTAGTATATTTTTATCTCATCCTAAATGAATAAGACATTTGTCCTGAAACATATGCTGCTGCTTTATGCTCGAAGGCCCCTATATGAATCTGATCAAGCAAGCTGAATTAGAAATCTATCCATGGTCTCGGGGTTAGGCCGAAAAGAACAAACTTCACAAAACAATCATCTTTCCAAGGATACAAGCATCAAATTCCCTCAATTTTACACCCTACTACAACAGATATGGGACGAAACAAAACTTCCAGTCTGCATAATAAGAGAATAATCAAGAAATAATGGACATACCTTATATACTAGCCAAAGGTTCGAACTTTTATTTCATAAGTGGTGTATAAGAGAGAGGCTACTACATGGATGAAAGCAGACAACCCAGAATCCCAACCTCGAAACACTGAGGTTACAGAGAGAACCTCGAAACACTGACGCTACAGAGAGCAAAAGGTTACAGACAGTTGCGTGTAAGGACAACATTTACAATACAGAACCATCCTAACCAACCCCACGATTGCTGAAGCGAAACTACTCGTCTAATCTTTCCCCTGTTACAACCATTCATGGAGGAGAATCTGAGTTCATATTCCACATCGCCAACATGGCACATCCCACCGAATTGCTTGAGCTCTGATCAGCCTTCCTCTTGAAAAAATAAAGGAGAGATCACAAGCTTCTAGTCGCCAAGCAATCAACGACAGCAGCAGCATCAAAACCAGAAAACCATTAAGCCAGCAGCAGAAGCAGCATCAACAGCGAAAAAGCCACCACCACATCATCATATTTTGATCACTCGCCTTCCAATTGATCATCAAATTAAACCAGATTCAGCCCCAGTAATCGCCTAAGACCAGTAGTAGCATCCCCAACCCCACCTTTCCCCAGAAACGCCGGCACGGGAAGCGAACTCGGAGGCGGTGAGGTGAAAAACGCCGAACCTGCATACATCGTATCCCCAACTTTATTGAACTCCTCCACCCTAATCTCCTTCTGAACAATCTCAGGCTCTGGCCCAAGCCGATCCGTCGATCCCAATCCAAGATCCACCACCTTCTTCCCCTCGCCCTCCTCCCTCTTCCCCTTCTTCTCATCCTCACTCTCCGTAACAGAGTCGAGCGACTCCCCGCGCTTCAATATCTTCACCTGCCCCATCACGAGATTGTTCCCGGGAAGCTTCGCCACCAGAGACTGCGATCGCGACGCCGCCCTATCCTTCTGGTTCCCCACGGGACTCCTCTTCCGCCTGCGAGCATCGGCCTTAGGTTTAGGGTTCGGAAACGCATCCCTCGACGACGCCACACGCGGAGATCGCAGGGTGAATGCTTCGCGGCGGAACCGACCTTGCAGGCAATCACGAGGGGAAAGAATCGCCGTCGCCATTTCTTCCGAGCAAGCAAATCAAACGCTACACAAGAGATCGAATCACAGTTTCCTGAGAGAAAATTTTCCTTCTTCACTGGGAAAAATGAAAAATTAGGGAAAGAAAAATAGAAAAGTTTTTGAGATCCGTACTGGGAAGAACTCCATTTTTGGGGACTGGTATTTATAAGCTGAATCGGGGAGCAGGGAAATTGTCACTTTCCAAGTTGGGGAATATGTGGTTGGACGATTTTAGACGTCGAGAGTGGTGGAAATTACGGGAGTGCTGCCATTGGGTGTTTGGTGAAAGAGGGGTAATATCGTTATTCTAGTGCGAAGTTTCGTGGTTAGAGGCGGTTCTTTTTATTTATTTATTTGTGGCAGGCGTCAGTTGTGGACTTGAAACCGACTTCAGTTCGGCCGGTCGTGGAAAATATTTTGGGCTTTGTTATTGGACTGTCCCTATTGGATTTGGGTTTCGATTGGACTTTTCATGGACTTGGGCTACGGCCCAAGATTTATTGGGTGAAGTCACGACGGTGAAGCCTGGCTGCCAGCCGCCAGGCTACCAAAGGGTTTGCTAATTTTAGTCTGATTTATTTGGCTAAAAAAGTGAACAACTATGTACTTTTATTTTTATGGAAAACCCTGTATATTATTAATGGGGTTTAACTTTTAATTTATGATTCTACCAAAAAAAAAAAAAACTTTTAATTTATGATCTGCGATTTTGTTTTTTTCTTCACGATAATTGAATTGAATTTAGTTTATAGTTATGGATGATTGAAATAGTGAGGTTATGCGTAGTCTAACAAGTATGTGAAATAGAGAAATACGACCAACAATAAACTATCGAGTAGAGGCGGGTTGTAGCTTTATTTAAGTTGATTTTCTTTTTATTAAGACTATAACTTATAAGGAAGAAAACGGACTTAAGGATGAGATTCACTGTGTAGAATTTACGTATATAATTAGTTAGTTATCGAGGGGGACTCAATTGACATGTCAAAATAATTGGTTTATAGTCGGTATCAAATGTGGGCACGAATCAATAAGTATAAGGTCAGCAATAAAGACTCATACCCAAAGACCATGATATATGAGTGATCGAATATTACAATCAGATTACAGATATGAGGTTGTTGATAGAGACTAGTTTTCAAAATCTTTCATAAATATATTTTCTCTCCTTAAGCTCATCCTATGTTATCTCCACCGTTAACTAAATATCTATTTAGATCCTTAATGGCTTGAACCAACCAACCCTCACGATGCCATGACAATGACACCAAAGACTTTGCCCATAACTGGAGTTCATGGGCATATTTCCGGCTATGCTTTCATTGTCAGACCCAGACCTCGTCATGGGCAATGTTTAATGATACCAATCCTATTTGTTTTCTACCTCGCTACCCATTTGACAATTTCATATGATTGTTTTACCCCTTAGATTAATCGCTCAAGAATATGTTTTCCGGTAAAAGGAAAACAACATGGGGGAAAGCTACGAGAATTGGCACATTTTTATGCCTCCAACGCGCCCAAAGAGAGCCAACCCCGCCCGAAACTCCGAACCGGAGAAAGGGCTCGACGGAAAAAACCGGAAAGATGGGAGCTTTATCGACGACCGAAAACGGGAATTGGAATTTCCCTCTTTTTCGTTTTGGTGGGTAGTCGCCATTTCTACGATTCTGAGTAAATACAAGCACAAAACAAGTGGGAAACATCATCAAACTCTTCTAAGCCTGGGAAAGCGACAAGGGGGAGAAGCATTGACCCCCAGGAAGCGAAGAGGGAGAGCTTTACGATTCTCTTTTTGCCGATTCCTTGCAATAGCAAAACAGGACATGGCGGAGAACCGAATGAAGCTCTTGTTTCGTATTGTCCTCCTCATGGGTCCTCCTTTTCCCCTCCATCCCCTTCATGGGTTGTATAAAGTTCGTCTCTTTCTTCGACATTCAGGGATTTCTTTATTCCATTGGTACAGTTCGCCGGAAGCTTGGTATTCAAAGGAAGTTTGGGGAAAATGTCGGGGGAAGGATGGGAGGTTGAAAGTTATGATAGTGGTGGTAGTGGTCGGAGGAGCAGTGGCAGCTCTAATTGCAGCGGCGGCGCCGTTGCCGTGGCCGAAGAAGAGAAAGAGAAAGGAGATGTTGAGTACTTTGGGTGGGTTTATCATTTGGGTACGAGCTCAATTGGGTATGTGTATTGTTTCCTGAGGTTTCTCGTCATAAGGGGAAAGATTGTGGAGATGTTCAAGCGCGATCCTCACCAGCATCCTGGAATTGTGAGAATTTTTCCCCACCCCCCATTTTTACTGGTTCTTTTTCCCCCAATTTTCTTAACATGTGGATGGTGGGGAGATCATTAATGGAGTCGGCTGATACCAAACCTTCCGTGTTTTTCCTGAACTCCCCCCTTACTTCTCTCAGTGTAGTAGCTATCACATTGGGAAGTTCCAAGGCTGGCTAGTTTAATGAATGTTGAATTCTTTTATTTCCTTGCTGTCAATGCTCAACTGTTTTTTGTTTTGTATAGAGACCCATCAGAAGGGGTGTGGTTGGGCCAACATTTATGGTGGAAGATTTAGGGTGCAGAAGGGTTCATCGTGGGGTAAGCTTTCTACTTTCTCTTTATTAAGTAGTTTGGCAAAGTGGGGGGGAAAGGTAGGCACTTTTGGCTCTGGTTTTTGGTTACATCTGGTACCCTTTTCTGGCTCTTGGAGTGGCAATTTGAGAATCTTTTCGAAGATATGTCACTGCAAATTCTCATTCCGGCTTTGTCATTGCTTGTAGGATGTTTATGTGTTGCGGTTTTACAACAGATTGGACGAGACCAAAAAGGGAGAAGTAAGTGACGACAGTTAACGCTTACCATTGCTTTTTCCGAATTATGAGATCTCCTTACCTTACAATTTGATTTCATTTGGTTATGCTTTCCTTCGTTTATTTGGTTTTTATGCTGTCAAGAAAACTCGCTGCAGTTCACCTCTTAGCTGCCTTCTGAATCAGTTTTTGGGCTGATTTTGTTGCGTTGCTTTAGATTGCTTGTGCTTCAGCTGAAGAAGCTCGAAAATGGATGGAGGCATTTGATCGTGCAAAGCTACAGGTAGACATTTCACTTTGTTTATCCTATTGCATTTCTAAAGAGATTCTGCTGAACAAAAGCCGATGTGATAGATTCATCATTTTCTCATGCTCATACATTGTGGCTTTTTGGTAGGTGGGGCAGTTGATTTCACGCAAGGGAAGTGCAAGAAACAAGTTGAGCATGGACACTGAGTAAGTTCCCAGTGTATAATTAACTATATCACTTCGCACAACTAAACTCAACCAACTTAAAAGTCCATTTTAATGTGTTCCATATATCACTACTCTTTTAAATTTGGGAATTCTCTGATTGTTTTGTCGCAATGAGCTGATTTACAAGATATTGACACAACTCTTCCTTTTCTTCCACCCGTTTTCTTTTTCTTGTTATACCCGTGATTGGTCAATGATCTTGTTAATTTTTCATGTTCAAGGATCAATTTAGGTGGACGTCGACATAGAGTACGGCGGTATGCAACTGGATTGAAACGACTTATTAGTATAAGTAGAGGTAAGGTGGCACACACACTTTTTCTTGATTCAACTCAGAGGCCATCATTTAATCATTTCCTGACTATTGAGTATCTTCACAACTGTTATTGTCTTCCTTGCTAATGGATTTCACTATGAGTCATTATCGACTTATCGTAATAGCTAGAAACACAAGCTCTTGGCATGATAGTAATACCTTTGATTTCATTCTACCAAATTCAGCTATTGGCAGTTGATTCTAAGTCATATCAAGAAAAAGAAGCGCATACCAGGAAATTTAAGGATATATTATTGTTCTATTCCAAGCATGATTGACCCATATGTTCTTTTCTTGTTTTTAATGGATTAGCCCATATGTATTTAGTTGGGAGTAACCAGTTGAATATAAAACAATTAATCTCAAGCTTTTTTCTTTGCACAAACTTATTGTGTCTAGTGATTTACCTCATTTTCTAGGAAATACCCTTTAAATCTTGTAACTCGTAGATGCTTGGACTCATTTTATTGCATATATCTGAAGGTCCGGAAAAGCTTTTGCTGCAATCATCAAGTTTGGGCTCAAAGTTCAAGACAGATGGATATTTTGAAGAGGAACGTGGAGATGCAGTTGAAACGCATGAATGGAAATGCATTCGTACAATAAATGGTACTTCCTTTTTGTACTTGAAAGGCATGCAGAATCCAGACATAGGAGTTGATATTCTTCCATACTTCCAAACAAAGGATTCCAATGAAAATGAAGATTAGAAAGTCAAATGAAAAATAAATATCAGACAACAGGATGTTGATTATGTAGATTTCAGTTATTGTGGAGTATAATAGTCAGATTCATCTTCAAGTGGTAGACAATGTATCCTATGACCAATTAAGTGGTACAAAGATCCAAGCACTCGAAAATAAAGGATCCTCTTTTGCTTTCAGGTGTTCGCATCTTAGAGGATGTCTCCAATAGCAAGGTTAAGGTATCCCTTTTAATCCTGTCGATTTTCAATCAAACTTGCTGCACCCTGAAAGAATTACCCCTTTTCATACTATGATAACTTGAAGAGTAATAGCTCTCACATCGTACACTGAACAAGTTAAAGCAAATAATTCTACTGAAGGACAAGTCTTTTGTATCTTGTGCCTCAATGCATGTAGATTATTTTTACTGTTAATAATTGCTTCTCTGCACTTCTCTTTGATCATTCATTCTTCTTTTCCCTGAATCTCCTTCTTTTATCTGTTAAGAGTGCCAAAGGCGTTCTAGTGAAGGCTGTTGGTGTTATCGATGCAAGTGCTGACACTGTTTTCGAGGTGTTCCGTAACCTCGATCGACATCAAAGATACGAGTGAGTCGCATGTCCTTTCACTGGTCCCCTGTTAGATTCCTTGGAAGATTCTCCATCAAAGATCTTTTTCCATTTTGTAGGTGGGATACACTGACAAGTGATTTGGAGCTGTTAGATTCTTGTGATGGAAACTATGATGTTGTATATGGTACATTTAATCCAAAGAACCTGTCCCGGTAATCTATTGCCCAAGACTTAACTGTTTCTTTATATCGATTCTCGTCCTCAGGTGCATTTAATTGTCAACATTAGTCTTTCAGGTGGAGCTCCAACCGAGATTTTGTTTTTTCACGGCAATGGTTTTATGAGAGAGGAACCTACAGTAAGCATTACTTACAGAATCATGATTTGGAAACCAATGACTTATATGAAAGATATTTGGAGTCTGGACCAGTCCGCTTAAGTTCCCATTTTCTTTCTGCAGCAATCTTGCAGTTTCCAGCTGTGCACAAGACACGACCCCCAAGATCTGGATTTCAAAGGAAGAAAATAAACCGTAAGAGGATTCAATTTTTACTTGCTTAACTAGTATCGAGGGAATATTGTTAAGGTTTGTCCATATGGTACTGATTAATTGATGGATTGAACTTAGGGGAAGTCAACTTGGCTAAAAAATGAGAAAATAAGCTTGGACACATTAACTTTCTGTTTTTCCCCCTGGAGAGAGTAAAGTTCCATTGTGACTTGCCTTTCATTGTAATGCTTCCACTTGACTTGTAGCTTCTACCTGGGAGATCAGAAGCTTGAACACGCCAATGGGTTCTACAGCTGCAAAATGTCTTGTGACAGAGATGTTGGAGATACATCAAGCAGGGTGGAATAGATGGAAGCAAAACCTCAGTTCAAAGTTTGAAAGGACTATTCCATATGCTTTGCTGTCTCAAGTTGCAGGTTTTCGTTGGACAACTTGCCTTTTTTTATTATTTCTGATCCGTCCAATGCAAGTAATAACTAAGTGTATCTATCGTGGTGTGTTTTCTTCAGCTTTTGCTCAAGTAACTTTTCTTGAAGTTTTAGTAAAAGTGGGGAAAAAGTGTCTGGTTAGGTTTTAGATAAAGTAGAGTTGATAGGTATGAGATTTATTTTTAGTAATAGAAAAGTATTTGATGAGATTACACATGGTTTGTTTAGATATAAATAATTTATTAGGGTTTTGAGATTTAAGAATTAGATTCTTATTTCAAAGGGAGAGTTGGAAACAAAAGTTTCTCAGTGATGTGGCTTTTAGATTTCAATAGTTTGTGGTGTGCACTATGAATAGTTGCTACAGAGGTTAGATGATGTTTGTTTCCCCTCTTAAGTCAGCTTAATGTTAAGTTATTCATTTGCGTGCAGGCCTGAAAGAATATATTGGGGCAAATCCAGCACTTTGTGCAGTTCTCCCTTCAAGTATTTCAGATGTTTCTGATACCTCGAGTGACCAAGAGGATGAAGATGTCGAGGATCAGTTTTTCGATGCAAACAACGGTGAATCTTCGTCAGACGACGACGAAGAGGGTGTCAACGACAGCGAACCAGTCAGTAAGACGTCTATAGTGAAACTGAAGAATGTTCTCTGGGCCATCAGATTCACTAACTTTGCCAAGAAGCAAACTTCAGGTCTTTCCTTGGCCTTCAAGATCTCTCTTCTGTATATCTTCACAACAAGACCTAAGTTCTCATTCATCAGAATTTGCAGGTTTAATTAATTATAGGGAATTGGATCAAAGTGTACCTTCAGTGACCATTGATTCAAGTGTGTTTTCTGGTACTATGCACAAAGGAACGAATAAAGGCTGTTGGGATACTCCTGCTGACATGGGTTTTTTGGTCAGAGGAAGGACTTACCTACAAGATAAGATCAAGGCAGGTCTTTGCTTTTTTTTATTAAATTTTGCCTTTGCAAAAGCTCACGTACTTCTGACTTATGGATCAATGTTCATGCTCGTAACCTGAGTATTGAAGTGTTTGTATAGGTGATGGGAGGAGATCCTCTTCTGAAGCTCATTGCAGCTGATTGGTTCAAAAGTGAGGAAACAATAGAATGGTTCAGTCTACATCCTAAGTGTCTACTGCAGGTAATTTGACAGTACTTTTTTCTGATATATATATAATTTTTGGTTTAAACTTGATATTGATGTACCTACGTTTCACTTTGTGATAAGGTAGAACTCAAGCAATCATTTACTAAACCTTGTTTTGTCAAATACAGACAGAACTGGGGAAGAAGCTTCCTTTTGTGTTTGTCTTCAATCTCCAGGTATGCGAATTATTCCATTCCGATCTCATTTGCAGCACAAGGTCTCTGCTGCATGCAGTTATAGATTTTAGAAATGCTTATCGAAATTAACGTGAGGTTGAGGCTTCTTGACATGTGATGATCCTTGTATACTTCAACTGATTCATGACTTCATTTATGTTAGAGGAAGTTCAAATAGGCTGTAGAAGGTAGGGCACTGTGTGAACTAAGGCATGCAGGATTCCAGAGGAAGAATAAAGCGAAAACCATAATGCCCTTTAATGAAGTGGTATCAAGAAGACTACTCATTTACTTTTGTGTGTTTCAGATTCCGGCAAAACCATGCCACAGCTTGATTCTCTACTTTGCAGCAGATAGGCCGATAAAGGCAGGTTCATTGTTGGATAAATTTGTGAACGGGACAGATGCATTCCGGAATTCCAGATTCAAATTGATTCCCAATATCGAGGTTTGTTAAGAATCCTGAATTTTCCACCTAGCTATAAGCTCTAATGGCTTTTCACCATTTTATGCCCTATAGCTCATGGCTTGATTCTTTTACAGGGTTATTGGCTGGTCAAAAAAGCAGTAGGTAACAAAGCTTGCATACTATCCAAAACTGTAAACTGCAAGTACCGGAGACGAGACAATTTCTTGGAGGTAATTCCCTTACTACACTGTTGTTGATATTTTTTGTACATGTATTGCAAATAGTTGTTGGATCATCACGGTCCAAAAATGGAGCACCAAGTTGAGGTCTAACATGTATTAGCACCCTTTTGTTCGTCGATCTGCAGATGGATGCAGATATCGGGACATCTGCCATAGCAAGGAAAATCATTGGCATGAGCTTTGGATATACGAGCTTCGTCGCTGATCTTGCAATTGTGATAGAGGTTTGGTTGCCGTTTTCTCTACCTTCTGTATAGTATCAAAAAGCTTCTTCATTTCAAAATATTTGGAACCGCGTTTAAATGTTGTTTTCGTTGCATTGCAGGGACAAGAGGAGGATGAGTTACCGGAGTATCTTCTAGGGACGGTTCGGCTGCACCATCTGGGGCCTGATTATTCAGTAACTTTGGAAACTTGAAGTTCCATAAGTGGTTTGATGATCATATTCATATATATTCACAGAAAAAAACGACAATTAAAATCCATATTCTAGTTTAACCATGTAATACTTTTTATTACTAGTTTCTGACTCGTCCGTTTGTTATCTGAGCTCTTTGTGGAGCCAAAAAAAAAAAAAAAGCTTGAGGCTTAAGTTATTGTTCTTCCCGAATCTGGAATTGTATTTGTTTGTATACGTGTATATCGAATCTTGTGTATGAAGAAAAGCTGTGCTGCTTTAATGTATGAAAAGAGAACTCATTTCTATACCAGAAAGTGTTAAACCTCATTTCTGTACTAGAAATCTCTCGTTATTGATCGATCATTGAGTTTAAGTGGAGTTAGTGGACTTGATGAAGTTTTTTTCATCAAAGTGGTTTGAGTTGGGTTGTGCTGGATAACAATGGCGCGTAGTGGGGTTGGTTTTATCTTGGTTTCACAAATTCATCCTTCCTAATCCAGAGTGACAATTCCATCCCATGGTATCCACATGATTGAGTAAGGGTCACATTCGAAATTGTTCATCAACTGTAGAGATGAAGATGGTCTTATAACAGGGAAATGCAATTGTGCAGAACCTCTTGCAGCTGCAGTAAAAAGCACTGCCAAGGACTCCTCTCGATGAAATGTCGTCAATCACTCCCTCCATAAGATAAAGAGAACACAATGAACAACAAAGGGTGTTTCAAAACAAGCTAAATCTAACAAAACAATGAATGTCAATAACCACAACGAAAAGGCATCCTCAAACAACATGCAAATTTGCATTGCATAGCGAGTTGAAGGTTTATTGAAGACTGCAAATTCATAAAAATTAAGCTCCTGAAGCCCCCCCATTCTGCTAGAGCTGGAGCTCATTCCGCTATATATGTATCATCCAACTATTCTTGTGCAATGACACTGATTTCGCCCTTCTCCAGCATGTCGTAGAACGATCTCACTTTCCTCTGCTCGTTCCAGTGATGCATCTTCCAGAAACCACCAGCAACCAACCCCAGCGCCATCCCGATCACTATCTCCTTCATCACGCTCGGTCCTTTCAACACCGGGTGAGGAATCCTGCCAGCCATTTCTGCAAAACAAACAGCAAAGTTCCCAGCTTTTGTTTCTCAGCTACCAAACACCAACTCAAAAGAACTTGCAGCAGTCGCAAGAACACAACTTGTAAGGAGAACACAACAATATCGATAACGAAGGAAATCACAAATCCGAAAACAGTGCGCTTTTGGTTCGATTCGATGTATTTGAAGATCAATTTCATCCCCCCCCCCCCCCCCCCCCCCCCTTCTTTCCTAGCATTCACGTATTCTGGAATCGGGATTGAATCATCTTGCATTCGATTTTCAAATACGGCGGATCAGATGACCCATCAGATTAGGTTAAACCAGGAATTGTTAGGACAGAAAAATACAGCAGCTGGGATAAAATTGTGAGAGCTCATCCAGTCATCGCAATGGTAAAACGACGGCGACCATCGGAAATAGACAATGATTAGATGCATCATCGGGTTCTAATAAGATTCAATTCAAACAATTACTACCCAGGGAAATCTGACATAGAAATGGGCGAAATCTGAATCGCAAGAACGAATTAGAGATGGTAAAAAAGAGCCTGCGTTACCTTAAGCGAACGACGACGACGACGGGGAATCTCCGGCGAACTAGGAAGAAAGAAAACAAGCGAGGCTCTCTGCGTTACTCTGTTACTCTCTATTCGTCCGCTTGATTTGTATATGCTTCCGTTTCCCATGGAGATGAGCTGGGTGGATTGGGCCGAGGGAAGGGCTAGACAAATGAAACGCGGCCCAAAGATAAATTTATTTTCTAGGATGGCCCAAGTAATTGGGCCAGTCCATGGACTAGCTAGTATTAATTTTCAGGGAATGAAGCAACAACCATCACTAAACTTCTCCTATTCATGAAGTGATGAAACCTAATGGTAGACTTCCAAAAAAAATTATTCTTTGAAAGATCTAAAATGTGGAGCTTGGTAAAATTCTAAATACACCTTGGAGTTTTACGAGACAGATGATTGTTGCGCACACCCAAAACAAATATTTTACAACAATTTGATAAGTTAAATATTTGGGTATTTTCAAAGAGTCGATTCTTAGACAAAGATAAGCTTTGTAACTTAGGAAGAAAAGCACGAATACAAGGTGGGATGAAACTGTGCAAGTTGTTCTTGGATATATCTAGATACCCAAGATAGTTTAGGGGATGATGATGATTTTCATTTAAAATTCTGGGTTTCTATATTTCTTTTTCTCTTAAAATTCTGATTTTGAACAACAAAAAACTATTTGCTTTTATGTACAAAAAAATATCATACATTTTCCTCTAAAGTTAATGCTTTTTTCAAATAAAATGAAATAATATTAAAGGTAGACACTAATATCTATAGATATAATTTTTCTATTTGTTGCATATGATATATTTTTAGTTGCAACTAATAATACTTATAGATAGATTATATAATTTTGTTATATATAAGATCACGTTTAACCTCAAGGATCGGTGAAGAGATGTCAAATAGATATAATTTTTCTATTTGTTGCATTCGATATATTTTTAGTTGCAACTAATAATACTTATAGATAGATTATATAATTTTGTTATATATAAGATCACGTTTAACCTCAAGGATCGGTGAAGAGATGTCCAACACAGTCGACGACGATGTGCTTTTGCTGGCCTGGTCGATTGCCCGGCTCGACTAGGTGGCCAGACCGACCAGCAGCTTGAAAACATTCTCTCTCATCACCCTGTTCACGTCCATACTGTTGGTGGACACCTACCGCCACCCAAATGGCCTCCCTGGTTAGATTAGGCGGGCACAGGGTCCAACTCTGCGGCCTAGCCCAGTACGCTAACCTGGTCGGGGTCACCGTGGATTGTACACTAATATAAAGGGATTCAGCATAATGAGCGGGTTAAAACAAAAATTGGAGCCCCACCTTAACTCACGGAAGGTTAAAGGTGTCTTTCACCTTATTAAATTTTTTATTTGTTTTACAATCGCTCTTTTTTATTTATTCGTTGACAATGGTTGGATTTTTTTTAAGGATTTGTTTCTAGCATTTTATTTTAACAAACTTATTGAGCATTTTATTTTTACATACTTATTACTATTATTAGGGTAATAAATGAAATATATGTATATGTTATGTATAGTTATGAGAAGATTGAGTTGTTTCCATGGGGAGGACAAGACCGACGTGTCCCCATTTTATATTCATATAAAATGTTATTTATAATGTATAGATGATTTGTTGTAAAATAAAATTGTATGGATGATTTAGTCTAATTGAGTTATATAACACGTGTGTTATAATTTTTATGCACCGGTGATTCCTTCAAACTAGCTCTTGGTCTAAAGCTTGTTGGTCCATAAGGAGAACCTCGGAACCTGGGGGAAAAAATCCCAAGTTACACATGTTTTTTAAAAAAATTCTCAAAATACACACGTTATGAAAATAATTCCCAATCTACGCATGTTTGGGCCATCACCGTGTCGACGAAGACAGTGATTGCATCACCGCTGTCGACGAAGACAGTGATTGCATCACTGCAGTACACGGCCGCGGTGAAGGCCTAACCTGCGTCGAAACTTTAAACAAACGTAACTTGTGCTCGGGTATCCGATCGTAGCGAAATTTTTTTTGATTCCGCATAATTTTTCGAGATCTTGCAAGCCGCAAATTGACGTAGGCGGTTTGGTCACGCCTTCGTCTCGAAAATATGTCGTTTGCTACCCCGAACGAGTTTTTTCCGATTTCGTCAAACTTTGAAAGACCATAACTTTGTGCTCCACAATCCGAAAATCATGATTTTTTTTTTTGATTTCGCATAACTTTTTAAGGACTACAATATTTAGTAGGAGAGAATTTTCAAAAAACGAATTATTTATGGATATAAGGGGTTTTGGGAATAACTTTACCTTCCTTTTCAGAAATCCAAGTACATTCCGAAAATATGTCTATGATAAAAATTGTATTCCTTAAAAATTTATGCGAAATAAAAAAAAATTCATGATTTTCGGATTGTGGAGCACAAAGTTATGGTCGTTCAAAGTTTGAAGAAATCGAAAAAAGGCTCGTTCGGGGTAGCAAACGACATATTTTTGAGACGAAGGCGGGACCAAACCGCCTAAGGCAATTTGCGGCTTGCAAGATCTCGAAAAATTATGCGGAATCAAAAAAAATTTCGCTACAATCGGATAACCGAGCACAAAGTTACGTTTGTTTAAAGTTACGACGCAGGTCAGGCCTTCACCGCGGCCGTGTACTGCAGTGATGCAATCACTGTCTTCGTCGACAGCGGTGATGGCCCAAACATGCGTAGATTGGGAATTATTTTCATAACGTGTGTATTTTGAGAATTTTTTAAAAAAAAAACATGTGTAACTTAGGGTTTTTTCCGAACCTGGGCCCGTGCGATATACATCTCGATCGAGAACTAGACCGTCAATGGCCAGAACGAGGTTGTCCCGATTATTAGTAAACGGTATATAATTCACGATTGAACATCTCACAACAACTCGAATTATTGTAACTAACTGGTTTATGACACCGATGAGGCTCAGGAACACGTTGATGAACGGGAAGGCAATGGCCAACACCGTCGTCACCGCCACGTAACCTCCATATCAGCCTGAACCAGTTGACGTGGCAGATCGTGGTCGTCGGGCCATCTTGCAGGAGCGGAATCGTGATCGTGATCGGGTGGTCCGCTGTGAGGAACGCGTGCTCTAACCACCTTTGCTGACAGCGGGTCTCCACGAATTTGAAAATCGGTTACGCGAACACCTGCATGCATGCATCCACGTACGTAAATTATGGTACAATGGCAAAAATAATTATTAATTGATTAAATAAATGGAAGGTTACGATTGTCCTACTTGGTAGGCGCCGACGAGGTGGACAGCTACGCAAACATTGGCGGCGTTGACTAGCCACACCGGGCGGTGGCCGAAGCCGGATCCGGAGAGTAAATTTCCCGGCGTGGAATCCCCAAACGAGGCGTATCCGACACAGCCGCACAACAGGTAGAAGAAGTTTGTAACTCCGACGCCGACGAAGGTTGCCCTCTTCATCGATTTCTCCTCCGGCGGGATCGACTTTAGAGTATCCTGCATGCAACACAAAGGCGGCTGTTGGGTCTAGTATTAACCCACCTAATACGGGTCCAAGCGCACCACAAAAGCGCCTCACCTTGGGCACAAGCCCACTCTAGGGTCCAGTACACCGGGAGGCGTCCAGTCCACTCGGGGGCGTCCTTTACCCGAAGACGTCCCTCACCGGGAGGCGTCCAGCCTACCCGGGGGCGTCCACCATCGGAAGGCGTCCACTCACCGGAAGGCGTCCATCGACGGGAGCCGTCCAGTATACCAGGGGCGTCCATGACAACGGGAGGCGCCCACCACTGGGAGGCGTCCACTGGATGCCTCCGACTCCTATATAAGGAGGCCAGACCCTCCAAGCAAAGGGACTTCTCTCCCTTCCCTCGTTTTACCACTTATGGTTCTCTCTCTAAACCCTATCTCTCTCTACATTCTCTACACTCTGTCATATATCCTATTCTAACTTGACCGTCGAAGTGTAGATCACAGGGGCCGCCCCCACTCTCCACAGGATTCTTCCACTCCCGAGGAGACCAGACGAGAGAGTCCGAATCAAGGTTCCACACTAATCCCCCGGTACTAATCCGGGTCAAACATTTTGGCGCCCACCGTGGGGACTGGTTCGCTACTCTTCTCGTTTGGTATCTGAAGGAGGAGAGGAAATCTATTCTTTCTCCACTAATTGCCACCGACAGCTCCGACCGCAAAATCCCATCAGAGGATTGAAAGAAATCAGTCTCACTTCACCAACTACATGCGAGGGCTGCGCCTAGAAGATTCTGGCCAGATCTGCCAATCTTCAAAGCAACAAAAAAAAAAAAAATTCGAACTTCGACGGCGCTCCACCCGGAAAAAGAGAGGCCTGCCGCAGTCAACATCATCATCGTTTCTCCAACCTCTAAGAAAGAAAAAAAAAAACATATCTGCTTTCTGCGGTACACAGCTCCACAAATCAAGAAAGTGAAAAAAGCTACGTAAACGTCACTCACTCTCTCTATCAGTCGTGACAACACACTTACCAAGGCCGAGGATGGGAATATCGATGCGTTGACTCTGAGCAAAGACTAGCATGGATGAGTTTCCACCCCGCAACGCAGACAGCCTTGGAAGTGATCCGAACATGGATGAGAAATGCACCGAGCGTAGCCCGCCTCCAAAGGCCCGCTTCTCAAGTCCAAGAAAAGGACAGCTTAGCCTTCGACCACATCCAACGTGGCCCAACTTCTACTGGTTGAGGCGGGCTTCGATCTTGGATGCGTGTGCGGGCTAATTGTCCGGCAGCTGGCGTTAAAGGAGAAATGCACCGAGCGTAGCCCGCCTCCAAAGGCCCGCTTCTCAAGTCCAAGAAAAGGACAACTTAGCCTTCGACCACATCCAACGTGGCCCACTTTCATAGTGGGTAAAGCTAGCTGCCTCCGGCAGCTCTCAACAATTAGCCGGCACACGTATCCAAGACCGAAGCCCGCCTCAACCAGCAGAAGTTGGGCCACCTTCAAAGTCCGCTTCACACCAGCGGGACCGCATTTAAAGCAGAGCCAGCGAAGTCGACCCGCATCACGTCGCAAGCCCGCACAAGCATCCGAGACCGAAGCCCGCCTCACGTCATCAGCCCGCGCAAGAAGCCCTCCAACGACCCAATCGCCCTCCAACTCGGGCCCAATCACGTGCATAGGTCTTCATTTTCAAAAATAATGAAGGGAACACCTCTGCTTGGTTTCGAACCCACATCCAACGATTGGAAAGAGGATGCACATACCACTGCACTACAAGCGACTTTGTGAATCAAAACGCGACTCTCACTGATTCGACCATTTCTCTACTGCGTCTCCTATAGCTAAGTTCTCCCTTTCAAGATATATCTTATATTATATGCCATGAAGATGCTTATTACGAATCATGCTAGACAAAATATATCTCATATGCCATGTCATGCCATGAAGAGAATCATTTCCACTATACTATGACATATTTCACGCATACTATGCTTATGTTTGTGCTCTAAAAATATGGGGCACTAGTCACTCACATCTTTCGCAGATATAAAACCGCATCCACTTCCCAGTAGGCGCGACATGGGTATAGCAAGAAATACGATCCCGCCTCCCAGTAGGTGTGGCATCTTCAAAACACAAACGTCGCCTTGAGTTAAAACTCTCAAGTCGTGGGGGCCGCCCTCCCTAGCACATAGCTAACGTCTAATATTCAGCCAACAACTCACGCTTAACATGCACACAAGCTCATGCCCATCTCGTGGTCCAACAGCTTAACGCATACAGCTCACAGTTACGGCCTACATATTAGCACGCTCCGCAATGGGCTAGTGGGGAAATCTCAAACGACTTGAGAGCTCTAACTCAAGACATCGAATACTAAACAAAGAAGCAAAGATGATGGCCGCACAAGGGGCCAACCGCATCGTTTGGACTCGCAAGGGTCCAGTCCACTCGGGGGCGTCCATCACCGGGAGGCCTCCTATCACCCGGAGGCGTCCATCACCGGGAGGCGTCTCATCCACCGGGAGGCGTCCATCACCAGGGGCATCCATCACCGAGCAATGGTCGCACAAGGGGCAAAACCGCATAGTGCGGACTCACAAGTAAGGCAAGTTAATACACATTAACTTATTATTTTACTCCTTCCATTCTTACAGAATACAAGAAGCAAAGGGCAAATATTGGGTTTAGTATTAACCCGCCTAATACGGGCCCAAGCCCACCACAAAAGCGTCTCACCTTGGGCCCAAGCCCACTCTAGGGTCCAGTACACCGGGAGGCGTCCCTCACCGGGAGGCGTCCACCAGCCTACCCGGGGGCGTCCACCATCGGAAGGCGTCCACTCACCGGAAGGCGTCCATCGACGGGAGGCGTCCAGTCTACCAGGGGTGTCCATGACAACGGGAGGCGCCCACCACTGGGAGGCATCCACTGGATGCCTCCGATTCCTATATAAGGAGGCCAGACCCTCCAAGCAAAGAGACTTCTCTCCCTTTCCTCGTTTTACCACTTATGGTTCTCTCTCTAAACCCTATCTCTCTCTATATTCTCTACACTCTGTCATATATCCTATTCTAACTTGACCGTCGGAGTGTAGAACACGGGGCCCGCCCCCACTCTCCACATGATTCTTCCACTCCCAAGGAGACCAGACGAGGGAGTCCGGATCAAGGTTCCACACTAATCCCGGTACTAATCCGGGTCAAACAGCGGCCCCGGCCCATTAGCTTTGTTTTTTCGTTACATCTTAAGTTGGTTTATGGTTTTCAGGCCCACCACCGCATGCAGGCATGCATGTCTTAAAATCGGGGGAAAAGTTGGTACGTAGCCATTAATTCAGCGGCCAGCTATCTATCTTCTTAATTTAATTTAAGTAAATGCTAACTATGAAAACGCGAGACAAAACGGATAAAATCGTAAGTACGTTGCAGTCATGATAAGGATTATTGTAGTTATTGTTATATTACTCTAGCTGGAAGTCATTGGATCCTAAGCTCCTCGGGACAGGTTACGGTGATTACTACAACCGTAGTTACTAAGGGTAAATTGGGTATGAAAAATAAATTGTATTAATTAATTTTTTTAATAAATTGCATTTTAGGTAGTTACAAGAATCTATTAATTACAATTTTCTCTCTTTCTCTCACTTCCATAATCTTCAGCCAGATCCCGTTTCCTTATTTTTCTCAATCTTTCTGCAAAAGAAAAAAAAAACACGAAATCACTACCAATCCATTAGACAATCACTACCACTTTGAAAAATATCAATACCATTGCAGAAATAAATCTATACCATTACATGAAAACTACCAATATAAACAATCTACCAATATAAATCTATACCATTTCACAAAAAATCAATACCATTGCAGATTGAATCCATACCAATACATGCAAATTAATACCATTACATGATAATTAATACCAATGCGACAAAAACAATACCAATGCAAAAAAACACTACCACTACGAAAAAATCACTATCAATGCGAAAAAATCAGATCGAGGGTTTTTATTCATCCCACCTTTTCGAGCGAATCTATCGACCCGAGGAACTCCATTGCTAATGCTCTGGCGAGCAGTGATTTCCCAACTCCGGTATAGATGCTGGTAGCCGGCGGAGGATGAGAGTGTCATGTATAATTGTTAGAAAGAATCCAATCATGGTTGCCTGTAAATGCAGCTCGCCCCACAATTCTGATCACCATAGACTAGCGCCGGTCAAGGGGTGGGGTTGGGGTGGTCGGAGGGAGGGACGCCGGTTGTGGGGTGGGAGAAGGGAGAGACGGCGGCTAGGTAGATAGGTTGTATTAGGGTTTGAGTATAATATATAGAGTAATCAGGTGTGGTATGTTTTTCATTTCCTAAATTACCCTTAGCTAATCTTAATCGTTAATTTAAAAATATAATAAAATAAAGATAATGAATGGTATAGATGTTGGTAGCCACCGTGATTACTCAAAATTGAGTAACCACCCTAACCTATTCCTAAGCTCCTCCGTCCCGACTAACTAGGACAAATTCAGTCACGTTTTCATGTTTCAATTGAAGACTTTCCTTTTTTATTATTTTCAAAGGGGAATATTCTTCTTTTTACCAAACATATGCGGATCCAATCACGATAATACCTATAAATAACAAAGTTTTATTCTGTTAATTAATTAACATGTAGGCGACCGACATCACGGAATAGGCAACCGACATCACGGCGGCGAGGATGGACAGTCACGTAAGCTTATGGAAGTTCGGGACCTGGCATAGTGGCAGCTGGACGCACCAAAGACGACCATGTAGAGCCTCGTGGACAAGTGGCACTTCTCGACATCAACCACGTGAGATTAATCCGATGGTCTCCCCACGACCCTGTATTTTTTCATAATAGATAAATCAATAACATACAAACTTATAATAAAATGTAATATTGATGTATGGTTGGTTGGTTGGTTAATAAATTAGATTAGCTTACGCCATGCTGATGGAGGCGGTGATGGTGTAGCCGATCGTGACGCCCACCAGGTTAGAGTATTGGGCTAGCCCGCAGAGCTGGACCCTGCGCCCACCCAAATGGGCCCGCACGGCGTCCAGATAGGTGTAGTTCCGTCGGCCATCTGGATGACGGTAGGCGTCCGCCAGCAGGAAAGAGGCGAACAACGTGATCAGGGAGAACCCGATCAAGCTGGCCAGTCCAACCACCCAGCCGAGTTGGGCGATGGACCAGGCCAGCGAGAGCACTCCCGACCCGATCACAGCCGTTATTATGTGGGTAGAGGCTGTCACCCACGTACCTGCATTGATTAATTTGGAATCAGTTCATTGATAACCACTCTAGCACTGGAGCTTCTCTGCGACGGAGATACTCGTCGCTAAAGCCCCACTTTCGTCGCCAAATCCTTTCCAAATCCCAAAAAAAACATTTCGCTGGATATTGTGACTATTGGCAACCAAGAACGAATTCGCCGCGGAAGTATTTTTTTTATCAAGCGTCACCTTCGCTGGTGAAACAGATAAGGGCACCGGGTTTTACATACTGTTTGTAACCTATGCTGACTCAAAAGACGCACTAACAGACAAGGAAAGAAAAATCGTGTAGGACAATATGAATTCCAGGTTAACAAAGGGCTTGTTGTGCCACAAAATAGACAACCCAATTCGCTTCTCGAGGTGGTATTCTTCTAGCGACGACATATATCCTTCACAGAATGTTGGTCGCCAAACATTAATTTTTTTAGGGTAACCGTGTAAGTAAATTCAAATGATTAGGCTGATTAAATAAATTTTCTTTTTGACAATCATCGCATCAGTAACGTACCAGTTCGCGAGGGACGCCCGTCGTTATCGGTGGTGGTGGTGGTGGTGCTCGACATCTTCTCTGAAAAAATTTAACGTTACCTGCTCATAAACGGAGAAAAAAAAACTTATTATTGAATACGTACACTACTAGCGTGCGCCCGGCCAGTTGGCCAGATGAAGGTGATGTATGAAATTTGATAATGTAACAGAGTGTATAGCTTATTGTTGTATAGTTTTTTTTTGGAAAACATGTGATAAAAATAGTGAATTTTAGTAGGAAAGAGACATGAATGATGCAATGAATCAAAAATCAGCCTTATGAACCAAAATCAAGTACCTGTTACCTTGTGAAACAATATTGTTTCTGGTAATATGATGAGGTGGAGTAAGTTTGATAGAAACCGAATTTCAGAAAATTGAATAAAAAATCGCCTATCCTGCTGGTTTTCGGGAAATGAGCATCTCACAATCGTTGCTATCTATTACTTGGCCCGTGGGCCGATTAATTTTCTTTATAAAACTTTCATCTTGTCGTCATTGTGCTTTTTGGTTTTTGCCAGGCCATGATAAAAATATAAAGAAATCAAGAATGAACAACACGATTTGGGATAGGAACCGTCGTTCCTGTATCCCTAGAAAATGGTGGTAAACACAGACTCACCTGCCAAACTACTTTGGATTGAGATTTTTATCGGGTATCAGAGAACCATGTGATTATAAATTAGACTTGATTAAAACGAGCCAAAACTTGAAATTCACCCTGTTTGACCGACCCATGTGAAACTCTAATTATTCTTTACTATTAAACTTTATATTTGAAAATAAAAAATAGTGAAAGAAAAGAGATGACTGCAATTCACCATTTGCACATCACTGATTCGGGAATAAAACTATAGAAATTCGAAAGGAAACTGAAAATGTTTAAGATCGTTTTATTGTTAAAAATAACCAAATAGATCTTTCTGTTTAATTTTTTATTAACAAATACCAAACGATTCCCTATAAAATACACTATAATTTAATCATTATGATATCGATAATTACATAATATATATTTGAAATGATAAAAATTGGACTAATTGGGTTGGTCGAGGTTGAACCATTGAATAACTTTAAAATACATTATATTTTAGCCACTAAGATATTAAATAATAGCATAATATCTATTATGCTATAGAAAATAGCTTGTTTTAGAATGGCAAACCCATGATGTTCATTTGTTTTACTTGATGGCCAAATCCCGTGTAGGTCAGGTCCATTCAACTCTTTTATTTTATGGTTAGCGGTTAGCCCATTAGAATCTATGCATTAGTTTATTGTTAAATTTTTTTCTTTCTAGACATAAAAAGGAGTATTGTTTTTGCCTTTTCATATATATTTTACCACCACGGAGAAATAAAAGGGCTTAAAGAAAAAAAATTGACACTCCGGGACACGTTTAAATCCGCATGTGTAGGGTAAGTTGGCTCATTCCACAGAGGAAAAAGAAAAAAAATTGACACTCCCTATTCTATCTTTCCTACAAACGCTCCTGGAGCAGGGAATTTGAAATGGGGGAAGAGTTTTTTTCCTCTCTGCTATTATGTGTTTTTAATTTAAAAAGATACAACAAATGTTCTTAGTGTTATTGGTTATGATCTCTGCTTTTCTTTAAGGTGGTCATGGTTCGAATACTAGTACGTGTCTTCTTAATGAATAAAAAAAAGTAATTGTGAAGACCAAAATGTCCTCCCTACTTTCACTCTAAATGCAGACCAAAATGTCCTTCCTACTTTCACTCTAAATGAAGGAAATTTGAAATAGGACTTCAAGTTTTTTCATTTGACTTTTATTTATTGTGTAGATTCGTATTTTTCTTAACATTTTTACACCATAGCGAAGAAGAATTAACAGAGGGGGGTTTGGCAATTAATTAACTTCTTACCGTAGATGGCAATTATCACTATAAGAAAATTTAGTTTTAGCGATTAAAGTTAGCGACACATAAATTATTTGCCTCCTAAAATAAGTTATACAAGACTAATATATTTTATGCCTTTATAAAGATTATTATTTGCCTCTAAAAATATTATTATATCATATAAATTTAATTAATTCTAGACACTATTTTTTTAGCGTCAAATTTTTTTTAATTGTCCTCTAAAGGTTTGCCTTGTATATATGTAAAAGTAAATATAATTTTTATATTCTTTTATTGTAACTTTTGGAGGCAAATAAGTTGTTTGTTGCTAAATAGAATGCTTTAGAGGCTAAAAAAGAGCCTCGTAATGCTTATACGACAATAATTATAATTGCCTCCATTACTCCATATGTGTTTCTATTTTACATATAATTATTATTGTTTATCTAAATCGATTTTTTTTATTGGACGTTCTGTTTTTTTTTGCCTCCCTTGAGGCCTTGACTAAAACAGTAAAACTTATCATCACGTAGTCCCACTCCGAAAACAAATAGTTAATCTATTTATTTTAATAACAAAAATAACAACAAATTATTCGGAAAATTAGCTTACCATTTCTTTTGTGAACGCTTTTTACAGTGTTCTTTTGTTAACGCCTTTTACAGTGGATTTCCTGCTTTATCTCTTAGAGGAAATCAAGTTGAGATATTTAAGGGTTTCTGTTCCGCTATCACAAAAAATTTCCATCTCCTGACTACTCTTTCTAGTCTCCATCAAATGGCGGGAGGGGTTACGGTGGATACTTAGTCACAGTAGAGGTTTGTTCCAAAATTTACGGGAGGAAAAGATTCAGCAGTGGGAACGCAGGCTTAGGGGAGAAGATTAGTAATGACGATCATCGACACGCTATCATTACGGATGAATACTACCATTCGACACCAAACATGACTACCGTTGCATGGAACACAAACTACCATTCAAAATGAAGACTACCATTCCACAGTCCACACCAAATATCACAAGTATGCAGATCACTATTAATGCATGAAAAGAACCTACCATTCCAAATAACATACACGCTACCATGACAACTGAACACTACCATTCCACACCAAATAGCACAGAATCACTGGTATGCAGAAAATAAGGCTGGCTATTTGGTCCGGGTTTTTTGGTTTTACCCGAAACCGGACCGTATAACCCGGACCGAGACCGGACCGGGACCGATAGTAAACTATCCAATTCAATCTTTGGGCTTAGATTTGAGGTAAAAAACCGGATAAAGACCGGATAAGAGAGCTCAACACCCAAAACTTAAGGGTAATTTGCATAAACGGTCACAAACCTTTGCACTTAGTACAAAACTTAACCAACTCCTCACTTTTTCAGGCCTTAGGCCACTCAAATCCCCACAATCTCAATATAAAATCAAGACTGAATTGGACCGGACTGTATCCAATCCAATCTTCGGTCCTTATATTTTCAAAAAGACCGGACTGGACCGGATCAATTTGGGCCAATTTAACCGGACCGGACCGTATAGCCACCCCTAGCAGAAAACTACCAATGCATGAAAGGAACCTACCATTCAAACAACCTACACACTACCAATGCATTATTGGAACTACCATTCCAAACCTAAAAGCTAAATCACTACCAAATCCTTCGTAGGTCAGATCTGGAATCATTCGGTGGCTCCTCGTCGTCGTCGCACCGACGATAAATCCTCACCGCGATAGAGTGTGTGTGTGTGTGTGAGAGAGAGAGAGAGAGAGAGATGGAACAGAGGGAGGGTAGCGATGGGTAGACGAGGAGATAGAGAGATGGAGAGGGTGGACTCCGCCGGCGAGTGAAGAACGAAACGCAACCAGAGAAGACGTCGTGGGTTCGCCGGTTGAAGTGATCGTCGGTGCGAACGGGGCTACGCCAGTTTCTCTTCTGATGTTGGGGGCAAGTGGATGCAGAACGGAGGTCATTGCGGCGTTGCCTGCAGGGAGATTGAAGAAGGAGAGAGAAGGGACGGACGAAATGCGAGGAGGCCTAGCGTAATTGACGTAGGATGAGTTTTGATCTGTGTACAACTCCCGAATTTGCCCTTGAAAAATCTGGGCCACAAGATGGGTGGGACAGGATTTGGATGGCCGATCCCTAAGTAGCCACGGTGACAACTTGAAAATGAGATGCCACCCTAACCCATCCCATCAAATGGCGTCTCCTTCTACCAGCAATAGCTTCTATGATCCTCAGTTTCCGTCCATAAATTTTCTTTTTGACAATCATCACATCAGTAACGTACCAGTTCGTGAGGGACGGCCGTCGTTATCGGTGGTAGTGGTGGTGCTAGACATCTTCTCTAAAAAAATTAACGTTAACTACTCATAAACGGAGAAAAAAATTTATTAAATACGTACACTATTCGTATTTACGTCACACGAATCTACTACATATGAGTTCATTCATCAACGTAACCTTGCAACTATTAACATTTTTACACCCTATCGAAGAAGAATTAACAGAGGGGTTTGGCAATTAATTAACTTCTTACCGTATATGGCAATTGTGAACTCGAGGCTGACAC